TATAACTGTTKTTTGTAGTTTGTAACAAATACTTTCGCGGCCAAACTCACTGGAAAAAATCGCGCGCTATAAAGGTTGTAAATTTGATGTAAATATGATGTAGGTGTCCAAAATTCTGTAAATTTGATGTAAATGATTTCCATTAAATTTAAAGAATTTTGGACACTTACATCATATTTACATCAAATTTACAACCTTTATAGCGCGCGATTTTTTCCAGTTAACTCTTGCCGACGTGTCGACCACACAAAGTCTTCACACGTCGCCAATCCTTTTTTTCGCACCGCGAATGGGATGATGGGATGGCAAGATTCGATCATATTTCCCTTGATGCACCACGCGTCGCTAATAAGGGTGAAAAGAAGCGACTGGCTACGTGGATTTAGCCGGAACTGCAATAGACACCTCCTTTTTTCCGCGACTAACAGTTCATTCTTACAATAAAATGTACGAAGTGTTGCGTGCAAGACGTGAAACGATCMCAAACAATAATTTAAGATATGTGCAGCCGTTCCTGGTATTTTTAGATTTTAAAAGCCCTTGAAAACTATAGTTAAAACTAGACATAACGAAATGTTGAAAACGTCACGAACAAAAATGTTTTTTTTTAATAAGAGCTTACAAGGTATTTGGGGTACCCCCTTCTATTCCCTTACCCAAATCAACTTATGATCAACTGGCCTAGAATAGACATACTAGTATTTCAACAGGGTATTTAAGTGTTTTCTTATATTCGAAAACTTCATGTTTTTAAGAAATTTAATCGCAAATTCTGGCATAATTTATCCGGAAGGGAATAACCTTTCGTTGAAACGAAACGATTTTGCTGTGATGATTAATTGATTAAGCAACTGGAACAGGAAAGTACGACCACATAACACCTGCATTAAAAGCACTCAGATGGCTGTCAGTGCCCGCTACGCTGACACTAAACGATGCAATGCTAACTTTTAMATGCATAAARGGATTAGCCCCGCTTTATCTAAGTTCACGYTTCAACACACGTGCCTCTGTACATGGACGAAACACCAGAAATAAGAACAAGTTAGATATCCCTGCTTTTCACACGGCTGCTGGACAACGCTCTTTTTTATATCGAGCGGTGAAATGTTGGAACACTCTCCCCGACGAAATTACAAAATGTGAAAGTTAGTAACACAGTTTTAAATCCAAAGCTAAGAGTCATTTTTACACAACTTTTGAATAAATCTGTTATATCTTATTATATTTATTATAGATTTTATATTACTGTACATACGTTTATACATTATATTTAYATTTATATTTTTGTAAATTATTGCGGAAGAGCCCTACGGRAGCAGTAACAAAGTTTATTATAATATTGTTATAATAAAAATTATGTAAAGGCAATGGCGTCATTACAACAAGGATGTTCCTGTTTTTCTCTCCTCTTTTATACAGTCCAACCTCTACTAACGGACGCTTCTACTTACGGACAGCTTTTCAGAACCCCGTTTTTCCTCCCATACAAACACTGTATTTGTACTTTCTATTAAGCAGACTTTCTCGCGGACGCGGAYACTTTTAGCGATTCCCAAGTGACCTTTTCTATTGTTTTCAATCTCCCGTAAACGGACACTTTTAAATTCAATAGCTTTTATTTTTATCTATTTTTGAGATTAATAATAAGTTGTCAGTTTAAATAAGCTCGTGAATGATAAGACTAGTTATACATAAGGCTAAATTACGTGGTATGGCTTCGGATTTGATTCAATTTATCGAAAATTCATCGCCGATAAAATGATAATCACCTGCCACTTCTAGTCCATAGCCTCCTCCGCTGTTGGTGCGCTTTTCAGTAATAACAACTTTTGCAGTGTTGCTCGCTCTTTTTAAAAACTTTGTCAGCAAAGGGCGCATAGAAGGAACAGGACAAAAATAATATGATATTTTATTGCTCTACAATAGTTAATAGAGGGGACCCCTCTATTAACTATGCTCTACCATGTCTACCATTTAACGTGGTGTTSCGCAGGATCCCATCAGAGTTTGTTTTGCTTTTGGCGGGTTTTTTTGGTTCTAAGTTTTGCTAAAACGAGCAAAAAATTCAGTAACCCTTACTTCCACTGGCCTTCAACCTTTAGAGAAAACAAAGTGAACGTGACTTGAAAGAGTATAACCATTAGGAATGCTTTTTAAACTATTAAACAAGAATATTTGACGTTATTTAGCCGTTTTAAGATCCATTTCTATTAGACGGACATTTCTAGTTGCGGACACTTTTTTCGTTTCCCAAGGGTGTCCGCGTAAGGTAGATTCAACTGTATTTCTATTCATTTTGAAAATTAGTAAAGGTGACTAGAACGTGACGTACTCGATTCATAATATATTTTGTTGATCCTTTGGATCTAAGTTACATCATAAGCCATCTGGAACTCAAGTTTTCAATCTGATGCCAGGAATTGCTGGTARGTTTTACTCGCCGATTTTAGCAATAGAACTGAACCCTTTTTTCATTGCGGAATCGAATTAAACGTTATCAATGTCCTACATTATATTTATATAGAGAGATATGTACATTTTAATATCTGTATCAGAAAAGAATATGTGATTAACAATATATTCAGTTCCTGGAAACATCTACTTTTGACAAGTAGAATGACATAGATTAAGCAATATTTTTTTATCTTAAGAAAGCTTTGTTTTCAGTGCTACATGCAGGAACGAAATTGTTCAAAATAAATTTAATTTCCAGTGTTTTGCTTCAGTTTTTAAATATTCTAACGGCTCAATATGTTTCTAAGACTGGCCACCTTTCTATATTTCTAATAAAGTAATTCARGTTTCAGGCTTTTATTTGATCGAGGTTTCAAGAGATTCAAAATCCCTACGGCTGAACTGATGAAAAGTCAGAAAATTGAACGCAAGGATTTTTATCCAGTTATWATCAGTTTAAGACTCAATAAATTTGCTAAACAGTTTTGACTACACATCCAATTTTCAATGATCAAAGTAAGTCCATCAGTTTTTTTATGGTCGCGTCCGGCAGTTTTTTTTTTTTATATGGTGGCAACCAAACGATTTTTGCATCCAATATCTTCAGCATAGATGCTTTTTCACTGATTTTCCGTTTCAAAAATGGATTCCCTCCTGGTGCGTTTAACGTTGCTATAGCAACGTCTCTTTGAGTTTAAACGTAACATTTTAGAAACAGTTGTGTAAAAAGATAAATTTTAACAYCGTAAAAARGTAGATGAAAASAAYTTACTGACGTTTCGGACTTTAATCCTTCGTYTTTTTATATCATTATATCAGGTGCATCACGGGTAATTTCTTCATCTCGCTTTAACAGATCGCAAGTCATTCAAACACTTTGAAGTTACGTTTATGATTGGTTATTCGAACTTACTCTGCAGGTTTTTTTTGTCAAATTAAAGATTTATGTGCTAAATATCAACTGCCCTATATATTGATAGAGTGCAAGTCACATAAGCATGAAACAATTCTTAATATGTATTGCTAAATAAGATTTAGTTATCAACTAACTAAGAATTCAACAAAGCATAAACACAATGCCAATTATTTAAATTCCTTTGTAGCATTGTTCTCAATTCTTAGTTAGTTGATAACTAAATCTTATTTAGCACTACATAGTTAAGAATTGTTTCATGCTTATGTGACTTGCACTCTATATTCACTTTATATAAATTAGCGGCCAGAATTTATTTAAATTTCCACTGTAGTCTGCACACAAAATAACTGAGAAATGATTGAATTTTAATTTGTTTCGAGAATTGCATGCAGTTAGATGTGCAATTTGCGGCGAAATCTTAGCTCAAAACCACTTTTCTTGACAGTTTCTGATTAATTCTAATTTAAAATGGCTTGAAAAAACCAGGTGCAAGTAAAGTGCTAAGCTTTAGAACAGTAAAATCGAAGAGATTTTTATCGTTGAAACAACTTCAATAAGTGGACGACTGAACCMAAAGTATCCAGTGTTTTCGACCTGACGTTTTAGAACGAACGCAAGAGTCAGTTGTACCTAAAAAGAARCCTCATTTTGAGTAAGTCTAATCGTTTACTGTTACGAATAGTTCGTATATATTAAAATGACTCAAAGTAGCTTGTCTGACCATAGTAAGTATGCAAAACWATCATATTATCGCGTTTCTGTTAAGTTTACATGCTATATTCTGATAATCTGAACGTTACAGCCTTTTGCACAAATTATGAGACATTTTTATATATATAAATATACCTAACCAAATATCAAAAACACCCAAGAAATTATGGGATACCGTCGCTGATATTTTGTCTGTAACAACCTGATGCTAGGCAATCATGACAAAATATAATAGAGATATACCATAATTTCTGGGGTGTTTTTGATATTTGGTTAGGTATATTTATATATATAAAAATGTCTCATAATTTGTGCAAAAGGCTGTATATGTATATTATATCTGACTCCAATGTACAATAAAAGATTCCTATAATGTCAATTCGTTTATCGCAACCATTCGATATTTTTTTGCACTGATTTCGCGCTTCTTATATTTTTTCTCCTAATAGCCATTTTTTCTCGTTCAAAGTGCTACTCTGGTATATTAAACAGCTTTTTGTATACAAGAAAGTGTTGTTTTTAAGGAATCACATTTTTAACACTATAGGCGGACTCGTCCATCTACTGAGGTTTAGTTCGTYTAACTAATTTCAACCAACCGTCTCTCTTGCATCCTTTCAACTTTTCACAACTCTACACGACTTAAAAAAACGCATAAATATATGAATGAGGGCTTTGACACCATTTTCGGCGTGTTGACGCAGATCACATTCCAGTCACGTAGCCTGGGGAAACGCCTCGCGGAAAAGTGGAGAKAATCAGTATCTAAACTGGTCTGAATTGATCTGGAAAACGAAGCTGTTCCATAGCGGTCACGGATCAGTGTCTTAACCGTACGCTTAACCACGCTTAAATCTTCACCAAAAATCATCATAATCATAATCTGTCATCGACATCGCTCCATGACATGGAATCCGGAGCGTTCCTCGATTCCRGATTCCAAGCTCCTGGATTCCGGATTCCATGAAACATTTCGCAAGGATTCCACCATAATGGATTCAGAATGCAAAGTATTCTTGCTTTATATCGTCAGTTTAAAATTAGTAAACATTTGAAGTCACTGATGAAACTTTTTTTATCAGATTCCACGGTATCCATTGCAGCGGATTCCCGATTCCATGTGTCTGGATTCCGGATTTTAGAGCCAAAATTTTGTCGGATTCGATCCGTGTCTTGTGTCGAATCGTTATCAAAATCGACATACATGAAAAACAGATGTCCTATCACATCAATGATGCCAGAGCATATTAACAAAGGTGAATAAATTGGGAAAAAATAGCAATGAAAATTTACCGTGCTAAATCTTCCCTMCCTCTTCCTYAATAAACTTTAAAWCRAAAYTTTAAATGAACTTCAAATGACCCAGTTTTTCACATAAATTGTGTATCAATGACTGCTCTTCTCTACTGAAAGCATTTTATCATTCTTAACTCTCTTCTACGTYAATTAAATATGATTTATCGTGGTTTTTTCTTTCTCATACCGCCATGTTATCACCCTCTGGSCACCACGGGCGATCATGATCCTTAAGATATGACGTCATAACGCGATAGACTAGCCAAAAAAAATTACCAATATTATGATTGTATWATTAGCTTACCKTAGTTTTTGACCAACTTTATTCATCTTTTCGCACAGAACCATGTTGAAACGGCATGAACTACTACCATATGGTGAAATCGTGGAATGTGCATTTTGGGCCATCTTAGTAGGGTCGTTCGTACTCAACACTATGGCTCTTGCAACTTTCTCTAAGTTGTCGTTTATGCCAACTTTATCGCACTATTTTCTAGTCAGCATGGTGTTTAATGATTGGCTGAGGTCAGTCCTTGTCCAGACAGTCGCTGTATACATGAACCACACCAACTTTGGGAAGATGAGCTCATGGTACTGCCAGTATTTCGCTTTTACCTCGACCTTCTTTGGTTTAAACTCCATAATTCACCTCACGGCATTAGCTGTTGAAAAATATAAAACAATTGTAAACCCCCTCGCTAACAGACGTCATAAAAAGGAAGCAAAAATAATTATACCATGTTTGTGGGCGTTTTCGCTAGCCTGGAGCGTATGCCCTCTTATTGGCTGGTCGTCATATAGTAATGTACCAGGACATTATGTTGGTTGCTCGATTTCCTGGTACAGCTCAAATGCTAGTGACAAAGTGTATGTGTTCAGTTTGTTTGCAGTGTTCTTTTTCGTTCCTCTTTCAACAACAATGTATTGCTATGTAAAGATTTATTTTGTCCTCAAAACTTTGACGAATAAGGATATCAAGAGGTGGGGCAGCGAAAGTTTAGCGGCAAAGGAGACAATCAAAGCAAAAGTAAGGTCGACAAAGATGGCATTTGCGATGATCACAGGGTTTATTTTCGCCTGGACGCCGTACACGATCGTTTCTCTTTGCGCAGCTTTTGGATATCAAGTTCATCCCTTAGTAGTGACATGCTCGGCAATATTCGCCAAAACATCAACCATCTATAACCCTGTCATCTTGATTTTCTTACACACAAACTTTAGAAAAACTCTGCTACGTTGTATGAAAAGACTACAGTGTAAAAAATACTTGACGAATGAGGAGCCAATTAATGTATAGATCCAGCCAGTGCTATTAGGGGCGTCACAACCCCCCCTAATATYTTGTAAATATAGTTTAATACGAGTGCCCCAAGGCAGATTTGATGGGAGAGGGCAAAGGGGAACAGGAGTCCCCTTCAATGAATATAAATAAAAAGAGAAAGAAATGTCTCTGAAGGTATAACTAACTTGCCCTCCTAGAGCAAACACAGGAAAGCCATGAAATAAAATCAAACTAAATACTAATAAATAGCGGCTATTTAGAGACAAATTGTCAGTATCAATGAACCAGAACACAATGAAGATGACTGAAAAATGGTTCCATGTGGATTCATCTTCATTGTGTTTTGGTTCATTGATACTGACGAATTGTCTCTAAATATCCGCAATTTGTTAGTATTTAGTTTGATTTTATTTCATGGTTTTCCTGCGTTTGCTCTAATACCATAACTTAGTTTAGTAAAGTAAAGAATCATCAGTAAAGTCTAAGCATCATATCTTTTGATACATGTCAGTTGTAACTTACATTTGTTGGCTAGTATTGAATGTTTGACAGTGGGCATCTCACTTTTGACAAGGGGATTTCCTGCCTCAGGCTTTACCAACACTCCATATGGAATTGTGATTCATTTTCTGAAAAAAAAAATACATGGATAACAACATGTTGAGTACATATACACACACAAGATTTTCTTATACAAATACAGTCTCCTTGCAGGTGTTTTTGTGCCGAGCCTCCTTTTCCCCATGACATAGAATCTGGAGCATTTGTGGATCTGGATTCCTAAGTACCTGGATTCCAGATTCAATGAAAAATTTTGAAGGGGATTCTAGATTCCACCATATTGGATTCAGAATGCAAAACATCCTTGCTTATTTTTGTCCATATTCATAATTAGTATACACCTAATTGAAGAAAATGTTGTCGGGTCCAAAAAGGTCAAATCATAAAAGCTAAGACCGAAAGGGTACTTGGGAACTAGACAAACAATTTGGCTAATTTCATAACAAACAGCTCTCCAGCATAAAAGACTATCATGCTGTTAATCTTACTAGCTCTACTTGCTTAGTATACACTGTATATGCAAATGTAATCCCAATTTAGTGGTACTCAATATCCCTTTCGATTTAAGTTTCTATGATGTGACCTTTTCGAACACGACTACGTTTTTTCAATTAGGTGTACATTTGAAGTTACTGATTTATATTCTGGATTCCTATTGCTTTCTCGGATCCAGATTTTGACCGAATTCCATGTCATG